CCCCCTCTCCCCTCCCCTACCGCCTCTTTCCTCCCCCATCGCATCACACCCCCGGAGCAGCAGCTGCGCAAGGAGAGGCAGGCGGCTCGGCAAGCAGGCACCAGGCTGACATTGCGGGTGTAGGGCCGGTCCTGGGCTACTTACCGGCACTGGAACTCACGACCGGCCCCGTGCACAAAGAACGGAGTACTTGTCTGTCCTGCGTGGCCTCTTGCGTGGGGTCGTCCGCAAGTTACGTAACGCGGGGGGGGGGGGGAGGGGGGGATATGTGACCGCCCAACAATCCCGTCCTGAAAGCATTTGCAGGTTAGGGTAGCCCCGGGACATAGGGGACGGGGAGGAGTCAAAAACGCCTAAAATTTGCTTGACGTAATAAGTGAACGGTCCCTAGCTCCATGTCGCTAAACTGACAGGATCGCAGCAACCCAAACTGAAACATCGCTTGCTCCGACAGCGATGGGCCTTGGCGATGGGCATAGCCGTTAAAACGACCGTGTTCGGCAACGGGTACTATAGTTCAAGTATGAGCGACTTTAGCACTGAGCTGCCTTGAGCTGCGAGGTAGGGAAAACTGTGTACTTGAATTTCGCGCTGCTCTAAAGCCGAACTCACCCGAAGCAGCTCGGCGATGAGCTTCGGAGACCGGCCGAGCATTTTCAGGTTCACCAACGCCAAGAAAATTCACAATGTCTACAACCTCTGATGTTTTGATATTCATAAGACTTTCATGTCCAAGGAGATTTTAAATTGTTTTTAATTAAATATTTAGATGAAAATTAGAGGTGAAACTTCAGTAACTTAGATATATTTTTCAGCTAATATTTTTAATCAGGTTGGTAACGAAAGGAGTCGTTTAGAGTGCCGCCGAAATGTGTTTTTTGTATTTACCTGGTGATTTACCTGTCGTTTTTAAAGAAATTCGGCGATAATTGCGTCCTTTCCTAACGAAAGCCCTTTTTGGGCTTAATAATCAACATCGTCGTAATAAACAACATACAAAATGATGAACGAATCCTCTAGCTTTGGGGAAAGAATTGAGGTTTGTTGCGGTTTCATGATGTCAACAAGTACATCTCTCTTACTTTTTAACTAATTTACAAACATTGCAGAATAATATTTATTTGCTCTCTCTAATCGTGCCTTAAGTATAATTTATCTTAAATCGACACGCCTGTTATGTCAGCTGTGACACTTCGATTTTATGACAGTACAAAGTTTTTAGGTTAAGATTGTCATTAGAAGCTTCTGTCTGAACAAGCTTATCTGTCATGTTAAGATTTGTTTGTTGTGTGTTACATTTTTGATGAAAGCTTATAATGGCTCATTTACAGCAGATCAAAGCAGCCTCCTACTCCTAGTATCTTCTCCCTCTCACTCATGAAAGTATTACCTAAATATATTTTCTTGTTCACAGGACTATGAAGTAGGCCATTTTCTTGGGAAAGGGGGGTTTGCTACTGTGCATAAAGCAAGATGCAAGAAGACAGGGCTGGAAGTTGCCATAAAAATGGTGAGAATTGAAATAAATCATTTTATTTTCCTGGATTCATGGACACTTTTATCACACACTGTCTCTGTCTTCCGCTTATAGATCGACAAAACTCTCATGAGAGCGGCGGGAATGGTTAACCGTGTCAAACAAGAAGTGTCAATTCACTCAAGATTAAAACACCCAGCTGTATTGGAACTCTATACCTTTTTTGAAGACTCTAACTATGTTTATCTAGTCCTGGAGCTTTGTCACAATGGAGAACTTCAAAGGTATCTCAAAAAGCATGATCGCATTTTAACCGAAGATGAAGGTAAATTAAACTTTATATCAATTATTGTCAAAGGCTCTCCAGTTTCAGTTATTTAATACCCTTGGTTTGTTGCAGCAAGTCACATTCTTTCTCAAGTTGTTCAGGGTCTTCTATACCTACATTCTCATAAAATTCTTCACAGAGATATGACTCTTTCAAATTTATTGTTATCCAGCAAAATGCAAGTGGTAAGTATGCATTTTATTTTAACTCTAAACACAATGCTTAGAGAAAAAGCCAACTTGTATTAACTAATTCTTTTAATTTCAACAGAAAATAGCAGATTTTGGACTGGCAACTCAATTGAATCGAGCTGATGAAAAACATCTCACAATGTGCGGTACACCTAATTACATCTCACCAGAAGTGGCAACTCGCAGCTCTCATGGTTTAGAAGCAGATGTGTGGGGGCTTGGCTGCATGCTCTACACACTTCTTGTTGGGCACCCTCCTTTTGACACTGATGCAGTCAAGAGCACGTTGACCAGGGTTGTTATGGCTGACTACACGGTATTAAACAACTCTTAAAATATTGTGTTTGTTTCTCAGGCTTTTCAGTGTAGAAGATAGAGTAGTGTACTTACTTTTATTATTTTCTGCAGATGCCCTCTCATCTTTCAGCAGAAGCTCAAGATCTCATAGATCAACTTCTGAAGAAAAATCCAAGAGATCGAATTAAATTACATGCCATATTAAAGCATCCTTTCCTTTCACGCTCCAAACAAAATCCTCTTGAGAAGGTTTGTATTTATAATTGTAGTAGGACTTTTTTACATTTTGCTTGATTCCAGTGCTAATTATCATCTTCTTTTTCTTGTTTTCAGAGAAAGTATCCACACCGAGAATCTGAAGACAGTGGCATGTGCACTATGACAACTGAAGGAACACATTCTCTCCAACATTCCAAGGACACCATGTCAAGCAGAGATGGATTGAAAAAGGCTTCTGCTCCACTCACTGTTGCAGCCATACTCAAGGATCAAAGTGCATGCAATATCAGCCACAACAGTTATGATTTGAACCAACCTAGCAAACCTAGTTATTCAAAGTCGCCCCATGTGTCTCATCATAACCACTCAGGTCATAAAAAAATGGACAAGGTATTTGATCATGAGAGTTATAAACACAATGCTGACATAAATCGTGTTGGTAAGTCATATGGGTGTGACAGTGGAGACGACAGTGAAACTGAACGCTATGATGCTGGTTGTCAAGCACTTCTACCTCAAAAGAGGTTTGTGTCAGCACCATCCAGAAGTAGATCAAGGTGAGTTTCTTTCAATAATATCATAGTTATGCTTCTAGTACATCTTTTGGTGGTCTCACTTTTCAATCAATTGTATTTAAAGGTCTGAAGATAGGTATCATGGAACAAGAGGTTTGGGCTCAAATTATTTGAAGTCCAAACTAAGTGGCTGTGAACCAGGAGAATACACCAGCTTACCTTCCAAACATTCTCATAATCAACTGTCTTTGCATCACTCACCAAACCTCTCCCACCATGCTCAAAATCGACATAAAGCTTGTCGACACAGCCGCAACAATGGAGTCTCAACGTGCTCTGCTGACTGTACCTCTGACATTAACTGGAAACCATCAACACTGGTTCGGACACAAAGTTTTGGTCACAAATCATCCGTCAGAAGTGAAGCTTTGAAAGATGAATGCCAATTTTCAGAGGATGTCAAACATGGCCATAAAAAATGCTCTTCTTTAACATGCAAGATGGAAGTAGTTTCTCTTGATGTTGGACGGGGTACTGATTCATGTTGTGAAGCAGAAATGGAATCTCACTGTGGCTCAGGGTCCAGAGGTGGCAGGTGTGGTGGTAGCCATTGCAGTCACCACACAGATGATGACACTTTTGAAAGAAATGTGAAAGATTCCAGCACCCACTCAGGACATAAATTTTCTGAACGAGTGTCAGTTCCAAAGAAAACACCCATTTGTAGTGAAGAAGACAACTATTCTCCAATTTTGGATCGTAGGAGAAGTTTGGATACTGATGTGTTGGGAACAATAAAACCGTCTGTCAGTATGGAAGAGTTTTGTCACCAGATGGTGAGTAGGAAGATGAGAGCTCAAACTAGCCATTATGCTACAGTGTACTTAATTTGCTTTTTTTCCCCCCATTTTAGTTTACTGGCTTAAAAACTTCCAAGGAGAAAGATCTAAAGTCTAAAAGCCAAGCTCCACCTCTGAATACTCTGCGGCTGCTTCCCACTCGTCACCGTACAAAAAATGCCGTTCTCAGCATTCTGGAGTCTGGAGAAGTGGTTATTGAGTTTTTGAAGAAAAAAGGACCTTCGCGGGAGGAGAGAGTAATTGACGTGTGCCGTATTTCCAATGATGGATTAAGAGTAAGAAGTCACTTAATGTTATTCCTACTATCTTTAGTCAGTTTTTTAGTTTACCAATTTCACGAACCTTCATTGTCTATTTTCAGATTGTTTTGTACCAAATGAATGGAGGAAAGGGAGCAATTGTTAGAGACAAACCACCTGATCTGCCAGATCAGGGTTCGGATGCTATTTTCAGGTATGAAATTATTATTACTTTTTTTAAAATGCCCCTGGTTGTCATGAATTTCTAGTTTAAAATGTGTTTTTAATGTAATTCTAATTCCTGAATTATTATTTTGTACAGTTATGAGTCACTTCCAGAAAAACACTGGAAAAAGTATGAATATGCTGTACGTTTTGTGAATTTAGTTCGTGCAAAAACCCCAAAAGTCACATTGTACAGTGACAAAGCTAAATCACATTTGATGGAAAACATGCCTAATCCTGACTTTGAATCATGCTTTTATGACGGTAAGGATTAGGATTTAAAAACTGTCCAGCATTTCTTTTCTTTTTTGTCTTTACATTTAATCAAGTGTTTATCTGTCATGACCTAGGTGGAAAAGTATCAAGGACAAGTGAAGGTGTCTGTCTAATTGACCAAGAAGGCCGTAACAATGTTATTATGTCTCCAGAGCATGCACGTAGCCTTGCAGCAGCACCCAAAGTTTTATGGGATCATTTTCTGCAGGTTGGTAGCTTATTTTGCAATTAAAATGTATCCTATTGCCATTGGGTATTAACTCCTCTATCAAATATTTTTCAGTGCTATCAGCATTGTGTCATGCTAGAGCGCTGTCTTGCTCGGTTGGTGGGAACCAGTGCACAGGCAAGCCATGGTGCAAGATGTGTTTTCCCAGTTATTGTAGGACGCCGCCCCAATGCAATTTCCACAACTTTGCAGGGTAAAGAAAATTTTACGAATATGATGAGCGATAACCACCTTCGTGGTCCTCTCATATCTCCTAACACGCCAACTGTAAGTACAGAAATGATAGGATGAAGGAATTGCTTTATTTTCAAGGAACCGAAGCAAATTAATTGTTATTCTAAATTGTTTCCAGCTTAAATCATTTGAGGTATCCTCGATATCTACTGTACCGTTACACTCCATCAAATCATGTGGTTCTCGAATAGCCCACATAGCAGAAACTCCAGTGTCTCGCCCTGGCAGTAGGCATAGCACTCGGATCAAGAGAGCAACCTCTCCAACCAGCATTAACAGTGGTGTGAGGAGAGTTGATGTGTCAGGTGTTGGTACAGCAACACAGGTAATCATAAATCATAAGTAAATGTAGTTTTCACCCCACCACAACCACTCTTGTTTCTGTTTGTCAAAATACCATTAATTTTTTCCCAGCTTGCATCAGGAGAGGTTCGGATTGATTACTACGATGGATCACAGCTGAAAGTACATGCCTCAAATACTGGCATTAGTTATCACTGTGCTGACGGGTCACAAGTGGTGCGTTGTGGACCAGAAGAAACAGTTCCCGAATGGCTTCGTGATCGGTTAGCACAAGTGCCTAGAATTATCCAAAGTCTAATGGAGAAGGCTCCATCCTGCTCTGACAATATGCCAAGGATAGTAAATAAACCCAAAGTGCGGTCTATAAGATAAAAAAAAAACAAAAAACAAGTTGTCAGACCCCCAGCTGTCAAGATCCGTCCTAAGTTTTAATCTGTGATTATCATTAAATTAACATAAATAGTGCATAGTATATGTCCAAATAATTGTTTTCTTATCAATCATGGTGATTTCCATGAATAAAAGATGTATAGAAATTATTTTTTTAAAAAGAATTTTGCTAATTCTTAGACTTTATATTTATGTTGTAATATAAACTTTATTAGTATGCTAAATATCTGGCTTCAGCTGATGTGGCCAAGAACTGAGGTAATTGTTTTGGTTCTTGGAAACACCAGTTCTGAAATTGTTGTTATTTTAGTGACTGTTTCATGATATGTAATGTTTTGTATAGTTAAGGATTCTAGTTACCTACCTTTGATGTAAAAGGACTTCTTATGTTAGTTGTTAGTGACTCACTTTAGCATTACCTTGAGCAAAACTGTAAATTGCTTTAAGAGCAGCGAAATTTTATGAATTGATGTACGTGTTTTTAGCCTTTTACGTCAAGTTCTGCCTCCTAATGTATTATAGAAAACTGATTTATGTAAAAGGTTTTGGCTTGTTTTATACATTTTAGAAGTTGGAATAAATAATTATATTCATACGCAACTGTGCCAATTTATTTAAACAAAATTTTTGTACTTGTAGAATATTAAACGTACAAGGGTGCTTAAAAATAAAATAAGGTGTTCTATTTAACTGAAAAGGTGACCACGATATATAAGTGTAAGGTATAACACAGTTCAGAATTAGATGAGTTGTTCTAAGCATTTGAATACAATAACTATTTAGAATACTAACTACAGGTAAAAAACTTTCTTTTACAAAAATAATACCTTAATAGAAAATACATAGCAATGATGAACAATGGTTGAAAAAGTGGACTGGTACACAAAGTTAAAACTTACACAGTTGGGTTGTCCAAACCCTTGCAAGTACGTCACTTTATTGTTATAACACACAATAGGCGGGTGAGGACGGATTCATTGGAAGATACAAGTCTATTAGGTACTTACAGTATTTTAAAATATGAACCAAGTGAAGACAAGAGTTACTATTGAATTGGGAATGATCAGGATTTTCAAAGATCTACTGATAATTCTAGTTAATTTGCAAAAAAGCTAAGGAATGTAGGGCTGTGGGAATATATAAGATGCTTCTCAAAAGATCTAATCCTACTCTCATCAGGAAAGAAAGATAATTATCATATAAATCTAAAGCAGGGAAAACTTGCAGAAAATATATATTACCTATATGGATTTGATAAAATCTCCATAAAGACTATACAATAAACTTTCCTTAAATAATCACAACACAAAAATTTGGAAGGCACAAAAATGAATAACAACCAATGAACAACCAACAAACAGCAGTCTGCAATGTAACACCAAATATAGGTCAGACGGCAGAATGATCACAACTCTTACATTTAAGGCAATATGGTAAGGATTCATCTCACAATGTAAATTCAGTCAAAAAAGTACAAGAAAAATTATTCAAATATTTCTGTTTTCTTTGTTCAGTTTGGATAACTGCTAGAACTAAGTCAACACCATACATCACACACAAAAAATAGGTGAGATCATGACATACATATTGTACACAGCAATGCAGTCTAAAGAATGCTCATTAGCATCTTTCCTTAGTGCCTCAAAAAAGCATAATGGCTTGTATTGTGCTAGTTATTTGTAAAATACTGAAAAGTTGTGCATTTGAATGACTTTATACATGCACTTATCAAAAGTTTAATACATTTCTGTTCCCTAGAAGATCTCTAAACATAGGTATCTAAGCTGTTAAATAAATAGAAGTGAAGTCAAAAAGACATGTTTTATGTTTTGAGTAACCATACATTTAGCTAATCCATTAGAGAACTGGTCCAAAAACATAAAAAATCAACAAATTTTAATTCGCTTTAGTAACTTAACTTCCATACAGGAAGTAAAAGGACAGCAGTGGGCGTCAGAAACCATATATAATCCACCACAGACTTAAAAATAAATGAATCTAATGGATATACCATGGCAGTGGTAGAAAGCATTACAACGACAGTGGAGCAAGAAGGGAGAGAAATAGGGTAAAACTACTTTTTTCACATATTTTGACTTAAACCACTGTATAATAAAGAGCCTTTAAGGCGTATAAACGATATAGGAAAAGACTATATAGACAAAGTTGCCAAAAATACTTCTCAGAAAATATTTTTTGCTGGCAAAATGATTAAGACTTTAAACTCTTGGTTAAGACATGCCTACATATTAGCTGCGATAACATAGACTCAAGAAGTCAAAGTTTTTAAAGGAATTGACCAAATACTAACTGAAACATCCCAAAAATTGATCATAAAATGTCACAACCATAGCACAGCATTGGACAAATCTCACTTCTAAGGAAAACCCAAAACTCAAACTCAAAATGGAAAGAAGAACAAAATTACCGCTGAAATTTAGACAGATATGAACTTTTCAATGAACATCCACAAGTTCAAGCTAGCAAGAGGAAGAAAATAATAAAATATGGAATGTTTAACCTCTCAAAAATATTCAAACAAAGCTCTTCAACGTTCTCGATAATCCTTTGAGGCTGTTGACATATCTGTCACGTCAGGAATGTATTGAAGGTCTTGCAGCTCTTGAAACTTTTCATGGTCTCGGATGTGAGCGTAGTTAGCAGATAAGCACATCAAGTAATGCATCTGGAATTTAAAAGATAATTTACAATCTAAAAAATTTATTAAGACATATTAAAGAGAAAGGAGAGAAAGTGATTGTTACTTACCAGACTCAATATGACAAACAAGCATGCCACTGTAGCAAGGATGAACATAACTTCTGCACGTTCAACATAATCCTTGCAAAACAATTTCTTTTCATTGCCACATATTTCCATATCTGCTGGTGGGGTATTCTCAGGAAACAGAAAGTCTATAAAACAGGAGAGTACAATAATGACATCAAATCAAATTTGTTAGAAAAAATAATCTTTCAGGGTCTCAAATTGATTATCTCTTACCAAATTGATGAAAGTCAATGCACTGATTTTCCTGAGCAATTCGATTACTGGAACATAAGCCCCAGAAAGTTGTATACACAAGTGTCACAACCACCAGAAAGCACAGCATTAGCAGCCAAGCGAATTGGAGGGTATAGGTGATTCCCATGAACTAAAAAAATAAATAAAACGAATCCACCATAAATCATAAGTGATGAAAGTTGTATAACTTTAAATTCCAGAACCTTTGAGACACATTGATGTTGACTTACAACAGCGCAGGAGACACGCCCCCCCACACGGCCACGCCAAGTACGATAAACCTTGTGCCTAGTTGCACCAGTTGCTAAGCATCCAACAAACAGAATCATGAGCCCCAAGGCACCCATACAGGCACCTAATATGACAAAGACCAATTGAACAGCTTCCAACCTGAAACAGAAATTGAAGGATTACAATACATGGTTAGACTTGTGATGGAACTAAAGATGGTGTAGATAAAAATGAAGTGTGCTGCGTTTGGTAGTTTGCAGTACACTACATACAATTTTCAATGCTATGACAAGCTAAAAGCTATAAATATTCTGCATGATTTGCACCACTAACTCTATGTGTTATTCTAAATACCAATTTGTCTGCTACACTTTCCTAAATACAATCTATAATTTTTTGAGATTATTAACAGTATCACATTAGTCAATTGACCATGCCACTGACAAACCTTGTCTCATCTCCTAAATGCAGCCTGGAGATACATTATGTCATTGTTATAAATAATATTTTTCCTTAAAGATTTTTGTTTGGAATTATCGGAATTGTCTAGATAATCTGGAAAAGAAACTCACCATCGCAGATGAAAGTGGAACACCTGCTCGAACATCAAAGCTGATAATGTAGCACCGCGATACATTGTTCCACAGAACACTCCAACACCCACCCAACACATTATCGTTGCAATGAGTGTAGCATAAGGTATGCGAGTAAGACAATCTTGACAGCCTGAGAAAGAAAAGTATTAGTTGAGACCATACTGACAACCAACAAAGCTTTAAGCATGAGGACTGAAAACAGTATTAAAGATCACTGCTACCTGCCGGGAAGCGGAAATAGACATAATTCTCTTCTAGCACAGAAATATGAAACTCAAACAATAGTAAAAACACTCACCCTCATGATTCTCACCCTCCAAACGATAAGCAGAATGAATAGAGTGCTCAGAGAAGCGACCAATGCTTTCCTGAGAGTAACCATTGCGGCCATGCCGCAAAGGTGCAACTACAGGATCATCCATCCTCCGCACTCCTCTATTTTGCAATGGTATACTTGACATATTGGTAAGAACAATTAAGCCGTATGGACTTATCTATGGGAGGGGTCTTAGGGCAAAAGTGATGAAGGCCTACTCTTGTAAACAAACCCCACCCACTTGTTGATTCTGGTCCAAATTTAAATCTAAATTCCAATGTGGATTGCGTGGGTCTTACCCATTTCGTAATGATCACTGAGAAGATATCCAAGTAGCAGACACTTTTAGCAACAGGACACTTATTGTAAAGAAACGCCAATATCAAACGACAATGATAGAAAAAAAATAACAAACAAACAGACAGGACACTTTTGCGGCGTGACCCTTGTCTCCTCTAGAAAAGCAAAGTGCACTGAGGCAGAAAGGAAAAGTAACGGGTATCAGGCTCTGGATGAATAATGGGGCTCGGTTCACAAAAAAGGGGAAGCAAACGAAGGAAGAAAGGTTTTGCTTCGCTACTCGCAAAAAGTACCTAGAAAAGGGCCTAAACAACAACAACTGAGGGGCGAAATGAGTATAAGTGATCGGAATGCCTTGCCAACCTGCTTTCATGAAACGGCACATGGTCGTAGCACAAAACAGAAAAAAAAAAATGGTTTCAAGACTATTGATTCAATTCAATCTCATATTACATTTTTCTCATTTCTTATGGTTTAAAATTTTTCCGAAAATATAGTTTGGATTTCGTTTGGAGGTGGCACTAAGGTTGGTGATTCTGCAGTGATTTTCCTCCCACTCAAAACTTAGCGTCAAAATTTAGTCAACGATTGAGTTTTAACTCGCCAAGCGTTCCTCCAGGCTGCTAGCTGACCATCAGGTGTATCAGAGAAGTTTCTATTTCTATCCGTATACAGAGGAGAGGGTTGTTTGGCGCTTCCGACGTGTTTAGAATCTGAAGGACAAAGTTCGGTGTTGAAAGTCCGTCGTACGTGTTTAAGAGAGCCCGCTAAAACATGTTACCAACACTACAGAATAAAAAAATAATTTTGCCCTTTACAAAAAGAACTGAAAGGTGAAAGGATCCTTGAGTTTCATATCCATTTTTTTTTCTAAATACGAATTTCCATTTTTTTTTGATATTTTTCTTTTTTTTGAAAAAAAAGGGGGAACGTACTTTTTTGACCCCATTTGCAATGGTGGAGACACTGCATCATCTTGTTTTTGTTGTCTTCGTTCATTGTTGTTGTTGTTGATGTTTAACCCTACCGCTTCTAGCGGTTGCCTTTCTGCTATTCATATCGCTCCATGTAAATATTTACTCTAGTTTGGGTTGGGACACAATATCTAAGATGAACTGCACACCACCCGTTTCTCCTCGGGTATTTCAAGCCTTACAAAGTCTAAATGTATCAGAACTTCAGAAATTTTCTGAAGATGAAATCCGGCCGATTTTACCATGTTTGGTTCGAATGAGCCTGATTTCTCCCTTAGATTTAAACAACAAGTGTTCTGAAAATCGCAAAAGTATACTTACTCTTCTTGCTGGAATTGACGTTGTCAACTCTTTGGTTGCCCTTTTATCTATCGAATTCCATGCTCTGGAAGTAGAAGTAAAGAAAGAGCAACAGTTGAGGTTAGTGTTATTGTACACAGTTTCCCTTTCATTCGTACCGAAATTTTGAAGACATTGATCTTATTCTGTGGATATTTATCCTTTGTCTCTTTTTTTTCCAGACATAAGATAGGTTCTGGTCATTCAGATGGCCTCCTTGTTCAGAGTATGCCTAATGGAATCGCAATTGAATTTGAACGAAGTCCAACTATGGAGCGAATGAAACTTGTACTAAGTGAAATATTCTTAATTAATGCTCAGGTAAGTCACCTTATAAATGTGTTTTGTATTTTATTTCTTTACTTCTTGTTACTGTGTGATTAATTTCCATCTTCACCATCAGATCCAAGAGCATGCTCGCGGAATTCAAGCTGCCCAATCTTCTGGGCAAATAAGCGGGCCACCTGATTTTTTTATGAAACAATCAGAACTATTTGATAACGCTGTCTACATAGATGAGATATGTGATGTGATTTGTATTGCTTTAGAAGAATTACCAAGTATACTGAATCACATTGAAGTTGTAGAAATATTTTTGCATGTTCAACATGGACCTAGAATTATTTGTACCATTGTTGCTAACCAGCCAGATGTCTTCCGGGAAGGTTTGCTGTGATTTGTATACTTCTTAGTTCAACCAGAAACTTTATTACTATATTCATAGCTTTCTGTATCTCTCTTTGTTTTTAGTATGTACAGCGCTCATTACAAATGGTGAGAAGCAAGAAGAAGAAAGCCTTAGCAATCGTATACGTATGCAAACATTAAGTATGCTGTGTCAAATGAATCCTCTTCAGGCTCTCAGTATCCGCTCCAAATGTGTAAGTAAAAATCTACTACTCAAACTTGATATGAGCGCTTACAAAACATGACCTGAATATCAAATTTCATGTAGGTTGAACTATGCCGAATGCCAGCACTAGCTATAATGCTCACACTTGGAAGGAGTATGGAACATTTGGAAGATGCAGACAATATGGAGATTGATGATTCAGAGATGCCTGATGATAGTGATATTGTGGCATTTGTGTCAGGACTCCTTCTGGGAAATGATCAACAGATTCGCAATTGGTTTGCACTGTTTGTGCGGAATGGGCAAAAAGTGTGTATCACATCCTGAATAATTATTGATGCAATGATTGAAATTATTAACAGTATAAATAATTTTAAAATGTTGGCTTTGTTTTTGCAGAGAAAATGGGAGTCACATGCAGCTCTGCAACTTCTGCGCAGAGCATTATTAAAGCGACTGGAAAATATTAATCGCCTAGCTATTGCTGGTGGCAATGTTGCAGATACACTAGTTGTGCAGGCATCATCTTTGCTTCGTCTTTACTGCGCATTAAGAGGCATTGCTGGAATAAAGTAAAGCTAAATCTGTCACAAGGCCATTAACATTATTCTCTTCTTAGGTAAATTTATTGTTTTTTATTTGTTTGTTATTAGGTTTCATGATGAAGAGGTGAATGCTTTGATCCAACTGTTGACATGGCATCCATCACCCTCTACAGCCGGAGTCCGTTTTGTTTCAATGGGATTATGTATGCTTATTGCTTGCCCAACTTTGATTTCGTTGCCAGAGCATGAGAGAAAGGCAATGGAATGGCTGCAGTGGCTTGTACATGAAGAGGCTTACTTCAAAAAGTATGATAAATTCTTGTTGGCAGGATGTCTGCTTGTCTAAAAAGTATGTGGAACTGATACCTCTTTCCTTTGTGTTACAGAGCCAGTGGTGTTACTGCTTCTTTTGGAGAGATGCTTTTGCTCATGGCTATTCATTTTCATAGTAATCAATTATCTGCTATAATTGACCTTGTCTGTTCTACATTAGGCATGAAAGTCTTATCAAGATCAAATAATATGAGCAAAATAAAGCATTTATTTACTCAAGATGTTTTCACAGAACAGGTACTTTATATTATCCTTAAAACTCAACTACTGTACCTAACTTCAACACTTCTAGTCTTATACTTGGACATTGTATCACAGGTGGTAACTTCTCATGCAGTCAAGGTGCCAGTGACTCCAAACCTTAATGCTAACATGCAGGGTTTTCTACCTGTCCACTGCATTCATCAACTTCTTAAGAGTAGAGCATTCACAAAACACAAGGTGCCCATAAAAGAATGGATTTACAGGTTGGTTCTCAAATAATTTACTTACTCTGCACTATTATCACAGCATTTCATTATTTTTATTTTTACCTTCTGCCCTTCAGCCAACTCATATGCAGTGAACCTCCTCTGCATCCAGTGCTCCCACCACTAGTAGAAGTATATGTTAACTCAATGCTAGTTCCCAGTGCAAAGGCTCCATTTGAAGCAGTGAATCAACCCATCACGGAAGACGAAATTAGGAGTGTTTTTCAAAAGTCATTTTTTGGAGAAATGTTTGAAATCAATAACAAGGTACTGACATAAAATTGGTCTGGGAATTATTACTATTTTGTACTTTGCCTTGGAATTGACTTCTGATGATGATTAATTCATATTCCAGCATGCAGTTAAATCTACATTACCTAATGGGAAATCACCTTCACTCACTGCTCAGCTTCTTCTTTTATATTATCTTGTCCTTTACGAAGATGTTCGTCTTTCAAATACACATGCGCATGCACAGGCCGGTGTATCTCCTCGTAGCTACTCAACAGAATTCTTAGCAAAATTACCCATTAAACATCTTCTACAACAGGCACAACGAGATCAACATAGTTATGCAGGTAAATGTCTATCTCATTAATTTGGTTGATTCTAGGGATTGTACATTAATTTACTCAATGTGAATTTTAATTTGCTCTTAAGGTCTGTTCTCTCCACTTCTACGACTGCTTGCCACACATTTCCCTCATCTTTCATTGGTGGATGATTGGTTAGATGAAGAACCAGCTTTAGACTCAGTCCACAATCAGAGAGGTTCAATGGAACTTTCATCAACAATTGTTGACATTGGTAATATTCTTTTCTGTTTTGATGATTTTTATTGTCTTCCTTGCTAGTTTACAGTCAGTATAACTTTTTAATTTTTCCTTAGCCTTTAACAATCTTAGTAATGATCCTGCACATCTTGCCCGTGTGTTGAGAAGGCTGACAGTCCTGCCAGCTACTGATGTTTGGCCTTTTGCTGATACTTTGATAAACCATTTTGCAACTATGCTAGGTGATTCTGTACCTCGTTATATTCAAGGTAAGTGGAATTCAGGACGCCTTTACCACAATTTAGTAACCACACAAAACTTAAAAGAAAAGTTTCTGATACTCTAATGTCTTATGCAGAACTTTATAGAAAAGTATGGCTTCGCCTCAACTCAGTTCTACCTCGATGTCTGTGGGTTATGACAATAAAAGGCCTAGTCAAAGCAAGTGATCCAATTCAACAAAAGGCTCTCTGCTTAACACAAGAAAATCTAATGCAAGATCCCTTGCAAGTACTTCGTTGTGATGTTAGAGTTTTTAGGTAACTCCTAATAAAATGTTTTACTGTTACTTTTCAGTACAAATATTATACATTATTGTACCCCGAGTTCTTCAAATCTATTTGTTTGTAAAATATTTTGTTTTTCAGGTGTGCTGCATTGCTAGCTATTGTTCTAAGAGTGCTTCAAGCTTCTCTAGCTGCATCCAGATCTCAATTAGCTCGACACATTTTGGATAAACCTCTTATTCCAGGTAAAACTGGTCAGCTATCCACAGAAAGTGAAAGGGAAGAGCTGAAGACAGCATTAATTGCTACTCAAGAAAGTATTGCTGTACAGGTTCTAGTGGAAGCATGCTTACCCACCTCCAATGACAAGGTAACATTGAATGGTTCACATATACCTGGTTATCTCTTTAAAAATAAAAAATACACTACGTTTTGTTTTTATTTTTGTGTTTAGGAAGTGCCTGGTCAATTGTGGTCACTAAGAGAAGTCAGCTCTGTTGTTTGTTCCCATCTTCATCAAGTATTTATCTCTGATCCATCATTAGCAAAACTAGTTCATTTTCAGGTAAGTCTTTATTCTGATTGAAATAGTGTACTTCACTTTTCACTATCTAGTTTTGCATCTAATTCATTTATTTCTTTTAGGGATATTCAAGGCCCTTATTAGAGGTGACTGTTCCGGGTATTCCATCTATGCACATTTGCCTCGATTTCATCCCAGAGCTACTATCCCAACCAGATCTCCAAAAGCAGCTTTTTGCTGTAGATCTAGTTTCACATCTGGCGGTGCAGTATGCTTTGCCCAAGTCACTTTCAGTGGCCAGATTGGCTGTCAACACTCTTTCTACTCTCCTTGCTGGTTTGTTACTAGCCATTTTAAGTGTTTGTCTCAGATTTTGAAACTATGAGTTAATATCATGTCTGTATTTCTTTCAGTATTGCCAAACAATTCTCGTGTGAAGTTGTATGGGAGGGCTCTCCCTGCGCTGGTAAGGATATGCAGAGCCTTCCCTCCCCTTATTGAAGATGTGGTGTCTTTGTTAATGCAGTTGGGTAGGGTATGCATGGCTGTGGCGTCTCTGGACACCGGTTCCACTGGGTCTGCAATGCGCTACCAATCTGTTGCTGACTGCGCCAAGTATGAACAATCCATTAAATTAAGCCATCAACTTCTCTGTTTAAATGTTCAACAGGCATTTTCTGAAATTCTTGAGAGAGCTGTCCTCAGCACCAATGTTTACTAATTAAGATCATCATTTTATGGAAGGTGCACGAAGGGAAATTTTAAGTTTGTGTGACAACTGTGGCTTTACTTAACTTGGTTGATGGTTTTGTTGGACACAACTTTACATAGTCTTTGTATCCTAATCTAAAACTCTGTGATTTAAGAGTAGACATAAAGAATCTTGCAGTTGGTGCATCATTGTAGAAACTGATAAATGCTGCCAGCTATGTGTTTGTTACCTTAGATAGAACTTGTCTATGTACCTGGTTAATGTATTAGTATTTTAAAAGTATTGCTGCAATACTTGACCAATTGATGATAGTGTAAGGCATGTACATGATTTTGTAGTTATGCGCTAGAGTTAGGGTAACTTTTAGTTTGTTTTAAAAACTGGAAGACTGTACAGAATCAATGTAAATTATTAACACCATTGTATGTACAATCTTATTATGTTATTGATATGGTAATTCTCATTTAATTCTCCTTCACCTGTAAATAGATCATTGCCCAGGAAATCAAGGCATTTAAGTAATTATTTTCACTACTCATATTGTGTGTAATATATTTTGAATCAACTTGTCAACTTTTCTTTTCTTCGTTATGCCCATTTACATCAATTTTCTTCTGGTTAACCATACTGTACTTGGCTTGTTGCCATCCGCGTGCTTCACTAGAAGTCCGCTTCCCATAGAGACAGTTCAGACAACACCGTATCCTCCTCCTTGCAGGACGTGTCGAAATTTGACATATCGGTCGGTCCAGATACCTGGTGAAAAACAGGATGGATTCGAAAATACGATTTTCATGGCTTTCTTAACGTAATCCACTGATTTAGTCTTGTTATTAACCTTGGGAACGATTGGAGGCTGCAGAGTTTGGTGCACCAGGCCCTCCCAGTCGAACCCTTGGAACCACCTTAGAGAACAAGGACACAGACGAAATCACGAATGAAAAGTCGATACCAATGAGGATTGAAGTAAGGGAAAATTAAGAAAAAAGATTGAACAGAAAAATCGGTGCACACGTGAATTGGGATTGAAGCACCCCTCGGAGGTGCCCCATTCCCTCAAATCAGTTACGTCACGTCCTCCTGTAAAGTTAGGCCGCAGTGGTGATGACTTACTTGTGGCGGCGCACGTCCTGCAGGCCGGCGCGCTGGTACCCCAGCCGCTCGGCGGGCACGGCCTTGCACAGCGAGCGGATCAGGTGCGCGGCGCTGCGCCCCACCGCGGCGGGCATCGCCACCGACTCGATGCCCTTCAAGATGAAGTTGTAGGTGCGCATGGGGTCCGCGGCCGAGAACGGTGGCCTGCAAGTAGGAGAACACGCTGTGCTCAGTCGGGGCCGGCGCCGAGTTTCGTCATTAGCCACGGCGTCGTCGTCAGTAGTCTGCCTTACGCCCCGGTCAGCAGCTCGAAGACGAGCACGCCCAGCGCCCAGCAGTCCACGGCGCGGTCGTGGCCGCGGTTCAGGATCACCTCCGGGGCGACGTACTCGGGGGTCCCGCAGAAGGTCCACGTCTTGTTGCTGTCCACCAGCCGCTTTGAGAAGCCAAAGTCCACCTGCGAACAGGGGGCCACGCAGCACTTAAGATCAAGTATAGTTTTTACTTCGGACGTGATGAATTTGGGTAGGTGCCTGATGATTGTTGTATTGCTTGCAACCGGGTTTTGAGCTAGGACGGCCGCGGATGACGCATTTCGCCTAGTCCGACCGCCCGCGCGCAACGCACCAGTTTGACGTAGCCGCGCGCGTCCAGCACGAGGTTCTCCGGCTTGAGGTCGCGGTAGATGATGCGCCTGGCGTGCAGGTACTCGAGGGCCTGCACGACGCAGGCGGCCGCGAAGCGCGCCTCCTCCTCATCCAGGCGGCCGCGCTCCCGCAGCATGGACCAGACCTCGCCGCCGAGGCACGCCTCCAGCAGCATGTACACGCAGCGTTCGTCCCGGAAGGTGCGGTACAGGCGCACGACGAAGGGGCTGTGCACCGACATGAGGATGTCCTTCTCGCCGAGCACGTGTTCCTGCTGGCCCGTGGCCACGATGTGGTTCTTGTTGAGGCACTTGAGGGCGAAGCTGCGGCCGGGCGTACCCGCCGGCACCACCAGCCGCACCGACCCGAAGCCGCCCACGCCGAGCGTGCCCACGACCTGCAGGTCCTCCAGGCGCAGCAGATCCACCTCGCAGTCGGCTGCAACGAGTCGGGGTGTTATTGCGAGTTCTATTCAGCCCATTTCAAGCAATCGTGCCTAAACAACGTCTCACCCTCACCTGTCGGGGAGAGGTCCGAGTGGACGCTGTACGAGGACGACGTCCTGGACAACTGCCGGTTCTCGTCGCCATAGTCCTTCTCCTGGAGCTCGCTCAGCGAGCCGATCAGCGACAAGAAGGACCTAGGGGCGGTCAGGAGAGTGCTCGTGGTGACCGGAGGGGCCCTGAGGGCGTAGCGCCTGCGAATGGCGGGGTAGGCAGCCCCGCTTCGCACGGACGCGTTACAGGCCTGCCCGCCGCCCAGGCGCCCCAGCATCACTCCGCGCCTCCGCGCCGTACTCACTCTCTGTCCAGGGTGAGGCACTCCACGCCCGGCGCCGTGGCGATGACGCTCGCCGTCCGGAAGTCGTCGTGCAGCAGCGCCTGCTCCCCGAAGTAGTCGCCACGGCCGAGCTCCCGGATGACCATCTCCTCGACGGTGCCTGCGGGCGGACAGTCGCGAGTGTCAGCTGGCGACGAGGTCAGTGTGCGGGGGCACGCACCGCACCCTGGCTCACCTGGGACCCTCTGGGTCACCTGCACGGTGCCGCCGCTGATGATGAAGAACGTGTGCCCGCTCGCGCCCTGACGCACGATGTAGCTGCCCGCCGGGTAGAACTCCTGTTCGGCATCGTCAGTTCAGGGGAAAGGTTTTAGATCTCCGCGTCGTTGTCCTGACGGTGGGCGCGCCCCCTTCTGCCTCATCCCGCTCCTCACCACTTCCAGGACGTCGGCGATCTTGTGCAGCGTGCCGACCGAGAGCTTCTTGAGCAGCGGGACGGAGGTCAGGAAGCTGAGGTTCTCCTCGATGCGCTGCATCCCGGTGCGCATCATGATCTGCTGGAACATCTTGCGGTCCAGGACCCAGACCTGCAGATCTGTCACGGCTTCGGAAACGGGCCTCGTTCGTAAGTAAAGTGAACATGGCACGGTGTAACGGATTTTTATTTGAACATGCCCGTACCTCTGATGCTGGCGGTGCGCGTGCAGTTGTACAGGATGGCCAGCTCGCCGAACGCCTTGCCCGGCCCCGTGCGGCCCAGCACAGTGTCCTCCTTCATGACCTCCATCTCGCCTTCCGCCAGGACGTACAGGTGGCTTCCTGCGGGAAGGATGTCACGTCCGCGTCAAGGGGGCGGCAGGGTAGGGTAGTGGAAAGGGGGGTGGGGGTGGGGGTGGGGTAGTCTACGCGATGACCCCTCCCGCGCTTCCTTTCCATTTCAACAGCACATATTGCTAACCTTCAACCTGACTCTCCCGCCCCCTCCCCTCAGGGACCGCTCACCCATGAGCCTAATTGGGTCCGCCCCTGACCCTGACGGACGGGTCTCAGTCACGCACAGGGAGGGTGTGTCCCGCGCGGGGGGTTCGACTGTCCTCGCGCGGAAGTAATGTGTGTCAGGAGGAGCGTCATTGCGTGTCGTTATCGCGATACGCACCTGCCTCCCCCTCCCGGATGACGTAGCTGCCCCTGGTCACGCTCTGGAGGTACATGCAGTCCACCAGCTCCCGGATTTGGCTGCGCGAGAGGTTCTTGAGGAAGTCGTTGTCCAGGATGGCGGCCTTGATGAGCTGCTGCGAACGGAAGTCCTTCGGGAAGGTGGCCTGAGTCACGGACGAGCTTCCGGGGTCCGAGCTCTCCCCGGACACGCCCTGCTTCTTGGAGGAGGAGGCCGCCGCCACCCCCTGCTGCGCCGTGGCCTGCGCAGCACCCTGCGCAACCCCCTGTGCCGCCCCCTGCGCCGCCCCCGGCCCGCAACCGGTGGCACGGCCGCCGGCCATGGCGTGACGCACCTGCAGGGACGTGAGAAGCAGGCCCTCCCGGGCGTCCCCGCTGACGCCGTCCTCGCGTGCCACGTCCCCTCCCTCGCCGTCCTGGGAGAAGCTTGTGGCCTGCTGGAGCACGCTCTGCAACAACGGTGACCCTTCAATGCCTCGCAGCGCTCCCGGGCCGGCAGCGCCGTTGCGCTCCTACTCACCCTGAGCTTGTGGATCTCCCTCCGCAGCCGCAGCTCCGCGGCACGGCGCTCCTGCAGCTCGCGGCGCAGCTCCTGCACCTCCATCTCGAGCGCCACCAGGTCCCAGCCCGGCGACAGCGGTCCCTGTAGCTGCAGTCGGGACAGGCGAGGTCGGGTTCAGAACACGTAGTCTCAGGCAGACCACCCACCACGTCTTTGCCCACTGGTTACCCTCACCTGCACCGACAGGGGGCTCAGCGGTGGCGTGGATTCCTGGTGGACGGCGGTCCGGGGACCTCGGCAGCTGAGCGTCCTGCCGATCGGCTGGCCGCTGTTCCTAGCCGCCAGGTGCGCAAGGGGGACGCGCGCGCCCTGGCCAGCCGCCGTCGGCGTCATCCTCCGCGCCGGCGACGCGCTGTGGGCGCGCTGCTTCTGCACCTCCGCCCGGGCCGATGTGCGCGGGGAGGTGACCGCCGTCTGGGGTGGGCTGAGAGGCTTGCGGTCCATGGCGGGCGCTGGACCCGCAGAGCGGCCCTCTTTGCTGCGCGCCCGCCCGCCCGCGCGCTTGCAGGTCTCGCAGCCCACCCCCGACGCCGTCCCGGGCCCCGACCCCTTCCGGGGTGAGCACGCGCCGCAGTGCCGCCGCTGCTGAGAGTCTGGCGTGAGCCTCTGGGTACCCTGGTGCGAGCAGGAGGAGGACGACGACGACCCGGCGTCTGCCTCGAGTGACGTCGGCGTCCGCGTCCTCGGGGGAGGGGGTGGCGGTGGCGTCGGAGTCCTCGGCGGCGGGGTGGTACCTCTTCCGCCAGGGTGCGGTGACCGAGGCCGTGGAGGCTCCCTCGGGCGCACTGCACTGGCGTGATCCTGGTTGCCGGCGAACGACACGGAGTTCCCGGATGACGCCTTTCCTGCACTAGAACCACTGGTGGAGCCTGCACCGCCCTGACGGTTCGTCGTCGAGGTGGGGACAGCCCTGGCCTCCGTCACTTGCTGGGCGTCGCGGCCGGGCCTGTTGGGTGCAGTCCGGGAAGGCTCGGTGGACGAGGATACACTCGTAGGGCCTCGTGACGTCGCGGTCGTGGTGTGGGCCACCACTGTCTCTCCAGGAGGTGGCATCTTGGAGGCCGCTGTTTCCTTCGTCACGACCTTGCGAGCCGCAATGCCACCGGAGCTACCCGTCGACACGGACGTTGTGGACGATGACGACGCGATGCTGGTGCGGGCCGACGAGGCCGAGGGGTGGTGCGCCACAGGGTTCGGCGAGGCAGACGTCGCCGTGGGCGTCGGGTGCTTCACGGTGCTGGTCGGATGCGGCGAGACGCTCTGATTCGTTGGGACGCTTTCTGGTGGAGAGTGCGGGCGTCGTGACCGGAGATTTCCAGCCGGGTCTTGCACCTCTCTAAAACCATCTCGCTTGCCGAAGCTCTCTCCAACTGTCCGTTGCTGATCGCTCCGCTGTCTTTGCTGACCTCCCTGCACGTCGTTGATATTCGAAGGAGCTATTCGTCTCTGATCGCTCGCTTGTGATTGCTGTTCCTCAAGTGCGCTGCTCCGTGAAGCTGTCTTCCCCTGGTCGCTTGCTTGTGGGTGCTGTCCCTCCCGTGCGCTGCTCCTTGGAACTATCCGCACCTGATCGCTTGCTGGTGGCTGCTGTCCCTCCCGTGCGCTGCTCCTTGGAACTATCCGCACCTGATCGCTTGCTGGTGGCTGCTGTTCCCCCCGTGCGGTGCTCCGTGACGCTGTCCACCCCTGATCGGTCGCCTGCGGTTGCTGTCCCTCCCGTGCGCTGCTCCTTGGAACTATCCGCACCTGATCGCTTGTTGGTGGCTGCTGTTCCTCCCGTGCGCTGCTCCTTGAAACTATCCGCACCTGATCGCTTGCTTGTGGCTGCTGTCCCTCCCATGTACTGCTTCGCGGAGCTGTCTGCCCCTGACTGCTCTCCCGTGGTTGCTGTATCTCCTGTGCGATGCTCCCTGTAGCTGTGCGTCTCTGATTGCTCGGCTGCGGCTGCTGTACCTCCAGCGCGCTGTTCCTTGGACCTGTCCGTTCCTGGCCGCTCTCCTTGTCGGCGCCCTCCTCTGTCCGCTGTCCGTCCTGCTTCTTCACCGTGATGTCCCGGTCGTGCTGCTGCGCGTTGGAGTCTGGGATTCGTATGAGGATCTCTATCGGCTCCTGGCTCTTCTTGTCGCCCCGACTGCTGTCCGTGTCGCTGCGCACCCCTTGATTCGGGTCGCTGTGACCCGGCACCAGGATCCTCTGTACTGTGGGCTCCGCTTCCCTGTGGACGCCTGTCGCGGTGGGCGGCCCCGTCGGGATCTTGTCCACCTCCTCCGAGGCTCCCAGCGGCGCCCTGAGCGGCGCCCCCACGGCATACGGCCTGAGCTGGGGCCCCTGGTCCAGCGCCCTGAACGCCTCGTCCACGTGCCCCAGGCTGCCCTGGTTGAGGCTCCCCCGGCGGGGCTCCGGCGGCGCCCCCGCCCCCGGGCCGCCGATGACCGTCAGGCCCAGGGACGACGGGCGGGCCGGCCGCGGTGCCGCGGCCAGGGCCAGGGGCGGCGACGGCGGCCGTTGGCCTGGTCGCGCCCCGGCCGGAGCCGGCGGGCTCATCCCGCGCCTGGCCTTGGCCTTGGACCGGCCCCAGTGCAGCAGGCTCTCGCGGAACTTCTCGATGGGTGACTTCTTCCTCTGGGCGCCGCCCTTCTGCTTGTCGCACTCCCCGTCCGCCTTCTGTTTCTTGCCCCTCTTCTTCTTCTCCTGGTCCTCCTTGTCGCGCTCGCCTCTCTCCTCCTTCCGGCCCTTGTGCTGCTCGTCCCGTCCTTCCTGGCCGGCGGCGAGAGGCGCCACCAACGCGCTCTGGGCCACTTGCTCCGTGGAGATGACGCACAGCGTCAGAGAGACCGTCCTGAAAGAAACTCCAAATTAGAACAAATGGTTGTCTACCTAATAAAGCATTCCGGTGAATTTGAAATGCAGAAGAATGCAGGGAACAAGAAAACGGAAGTCACCATGTAAAAGCATAGCGATTTCCGTTTTCTTCTTCCTCGCATTCTTCTGAATTTTAGCTTTACTGGAATGCCTCATTTGCTATCCCTGATCCCTCTATCTCTGAATAATTTTCCTTCAAGTACTCTGATGAACTAATTAGTCAACACTGCATTTACAAGAGATCCACTGGATAGTAAATCACTTGTAACTGTTCAACTCCACCACTGTTGAACGTAACCGAGAGTGCGTTCAACAGAAATCAGGAGGTTGGCAGTTGCACACTCAGACGCGAGTTTCCCGGTGGAACACCCTTCTTGCAGAGTAGTGAGTGTTCACAACTTTGATAAGTATGACGTCACCGACTTTTGGACGTAATGAAATGTGGACGCGCGGCGCGTACTCATTTGCGTTCGCGGGCACGTCCGCGTGTCCGAGAGACGCGACAGAAGTCGCGGATCTCTCTCGCTCTCTCGCTCGCTCTCTCGCTCTCGGCGGCCGCATTCTCGGCGCGCCGCCGCTGAGCCGTCGAGCACCCACCCGGGCCTAATTAATCCCGACAACTACTTCGCCTTCGTCACCGAGGAGGAGGTGGAGGAGGAGGAGAGCACCACCCACTTGCGGGTGCTGAAGGGCGAGATGCTGGCCGGCGAGGCGTCACCGTCACGGGCGGTGCCGGTCACCGCGCGGCTGCCGCGGCTGCTGCTGTCTGAAGAAGAGCGCCGCCGACGGAGGCTCCAGTCCATAGCAACCTGCGGGAGGACGAGGAAGGCACGAGGGTGAACCAGTAGATGGGAAGAGGGGGTACGCCGGGCGAGGAAATTTAAAGTCTGAAAATTTTATAGGAACATGGGAAAAATAGAAATATTTCCAAAAAGATTGAAAAATAATTAAACTGCTCCGGAAAAATTGAGAGATTTTAAAAAAGAATATTCCCGACTTTCCCAAAACTACTTGACCGGAAAATTGAAGGCCCTACGCCGAGCCAGACAAAATAAACCGCATGTAATTCCAGGGTATCCACGTTATACTATGGACTACAGGCGAGGCGCCTGGGAGGTAGGCAACCCATCGCGCGAGTGCGTCTGGCGGGCAGGCATCTCGGCGTCCGCCCGGAGATGAGGGTGTTCAAAACAAACAGCCCGGGAAAAGAGAACAATGGAGTAGAATGCAACATATTTTCCACCCGGCCCGTAAATTTTCTCCATCGCCGAGCGGAAAATCGCTCTGGCACTTGAGCGGGCAGTCCGATGCGTATCGGCTTCCTAGGAAGCGACGGCGGCGGTGTCTGCAACAACTGCCTACAATGCGTTTCGTGCTGCCCGCCCCCGCGAGCTTGCCCGAGTGTTCCGCGGCTGGACACTGACTCCGGGAGGACTCTACCTTACCTCGCCCCCGACTCGGGAAGAGGTATCGTCCGGCGCGCGCTCTCGACTGCAATGTGAGGCCGATCGTGCCGATGGTCTCGATGCGACTGGCCCTCCAGGAAGGCGAGCCCGCGCCGCCGCCCTCCTCGAGGCCAGGAAGGAGCGACAAGGATAGAGGCCGAGAGCGGGAGGGAAGTTAGCACACACCTGCCTCAGGTGATTTATTTTTTTGTCATCCTTTTTTTTATGTCCGAATTGACCGACATCGCGATGATGACATCACATGCTGACCTAGGAGAGCAGTGGGTTAGCAAGCGTGTGTGGGCGGTGGCGGGTGCTCACGGCGGGCACCTCCGTCGCTGTGTCACCGGGGCGGGATATCCCGTCAGGACGCGCCGTAAAAACTAGCCGTCGCGCGGACGCGAGCTATATTCTCATCGTTCCGCTAGTAAACTAATATTTACTGGCCGGTATGGCGTATTATATTCACTCGTGCTGCTCTGCCACACCGCGCTGGAGTACTACTGGAGTTACTTACCCATCATCATGGCCCTCGTCGCGAGGGAGGCGTAGCCCCCCATCACTCACTCGACATTCGTGACCGCACACGCGACACTCGGGGGGACACACAGCACAACACCAGCGTCACCGTCCCCTGGTCAGGGATCACCAGGGATGCACCTGAGCGGTCACCGCCGCGCCGTGCCCGCGCCCCGCAGCCCTGCGGAGCTAATTCACGAGCGCGGGTGACGTCGTCGCCCGCCGCGACGATGCCCGACTTTTATCGAGGGACGCTGCTCGCGCGGGCGTCGCGACGCAGACTGGCTGCTGCTGCTGAGGCGGCGGCGGGCTTTGACAGGCGCCGGCGCCCCGCGCGCGCCGAAACGAGCAGACGACGCGCCGTCGTGCTCGGGGTGGTAGATGCGCCCCCCGTCGCCTCAAACCAACCCCTCTGCCCCGCGCTACCTCCCTTTCCCTGTGTCCCCCATGACGACCTTTTCAGGGGACTCTGGCTGGCTGTCGTTCTGAAGACCCTCGCGTCACCTCCGGTGCAATTGCAAACAATCAATGTTTTCAGCTGGCGCGATCATATCCTCCGAGGCAGCAGCGCTCCTCTGGGGTTTCGACACGGAAGGACGGCCGGCCCGCCACCCGCGCCAGCGCGCAAGGCATCGCGACGCCGCCGTTAACAAGATGAGGAGGCGTTAACACGGCGCTGGCGCCTCTCTCTCCCTCTCTATCCCTTCTCTCTCTCTCTCTCTCTCTCTCTCTCTCTCTCTCTCTCTCGTTCTCTCTTTCTTCCTCTCTTCCTCCCTCGTCTGTCGCTCCCACTCCTTCCTCTGTCCTTCCCTTGCGGAAGGTTCGCGGGAGAGCAGAGGATACTCCGCGCGGTCGCGGTGCGTCGGCGCTACCCCCGCCGCCCAGAGACTCTTGGCGTCCCCGTCGGCGCGGCGGTCGTACTGACGGCGGCGGCGGCGGCCTCCACCCGCCAGAGCGCAGCACCGGGAGGGCTCCCGGACGAGCCTCGGCCGCGGCCGCACCCCTCCTGCCTCTCCTCGCCGTTCCCTTCGCTCATGGCAACGATGGCAACATAATTCGCAAAGCCGTGTGCTCTCCCGTGCCTCCGGGCGCCCCGCCCCGCCCCGCCCTGCCCGTACCATCACACACCGTTTAACCGGGGCCGGAAACGTAGCGAGAGGCCGAGAGGGGGATGGGGAAGGTAACGGCGGGGAGCAGGGGGGGCATTGTGGAGGAATAAGTCATAAAGTGGGCTCTCTCGGGGCCCTTGTCAGGAGCTGGCTGCTCAACAGACACCAGCGCCGCCGCCGCCGCCACCGCCGCACCTCACTGCCAACGACGCGGCGGTCTTTGAATAATCTATACCTTCAGTGTGAGTGTGTGTGAGAGAGAGAGACAAGAGGAAGGGGAGCGTTGCGCGATTACAGGCTGCTGTATTATTTTAAAACCTATCCCTTTCTGTTAATTTTTACGATTTCCCGTTCACCTCTGCTATGTAGTGTCGCAAACACACACACGCACGCACACGCACACACACACACACAAACACACACACACACACACACACACACACACACACTCACAAACGTACAGACCCTTGCCTTTCCACAATGCACTGCGACGCACCTCCTCGACATGCGGGCGGCGGCGGGGAGGCCGGTTGCGCTGCGACCCGCGGCGGTGGCGGGCGGTTAGCGCCACAAGCGCCATAAGCGCCAAGAGGGGCAGGAAATAAGGGGCTCGGCCGGAGCTAAGCGCCGCCGCCACCGAGCCGGGCGCTTATCGGCGGCGGATCGCACCAGACAGACCAGCGCGGCGTGGCGGTGCACTCTGCCCCCACGTAACTGGACAGGGCCGCCAGAGCGGAGCAAGGGAAGAGCTGAGCTGCCTGCCTACTGCAACCATGCTCAGGGTCGGTCATGAATCCGAAGTATCAGATACCAAGGTGGCTGATTAACCCCGCTCACTGTAGTTTTAACTGTTCAGCGCCGCACGAGTGCGGGCGAGCTTGCCTATCGATCTCCTTGTCCACTGTGCCTTACGGGCCGAGCGAGTAGGCAACCCGCCCGCACGTCGGAATGCGGCACAGCATAACTGCGCGAGCCGCTTGGTACAGGGGGTACCCCATTGTATGTCGGATTTTCGCGCCACCATAATTTGAATTCAAATCACTGGCACAAGTTTGGCTCTACTCGCTAATAAAGACGCAAGTCAGAGAGCTAGAGAGGGCTTATAGCAACCTGCAGCGGAGGTCTTTGATTTCAACTTATGGCGCGCAAGCCCCGTCCCGTTTGAATGAGACACCCTGTACGTATTTCGAATGTCTTTGCCCGCCCTCGTCGACGGGCTCCATGTGCACTTTCCGCGTCCCAAATTTTTTCGCAGTGTGGCGGCAGCAGCTCGGCGCTCTTTTCGCGCGAGGCAGTCCGCGAGCGGAGGAGGGTTCGCGTTTCCCTTCATCGCCAATGCAAATTCGTGTGAAAATATTCACCAATTAGAGCGAGTCCGTGCTTTCATCATTAGCACCTCCTCTGCGCGCCCTGCTCCCTCTCCGGGCGCCGCCGCGTTGGTTTCCCGGCATTTTTCTTCTTCCCCTCTGTTCATTCTGCACGGGCCCCCGACTTGTTACTCTCGTCATTTCTAATTTCCCTCCCTCGCCCTGCTACATTATATGACCGAACCTGCGCAAATGCTTGTCGGTCCGCCCCTCGGCGCGCCCCTGCTCCCCTCCCTCCCGGGCCGTTGCTGTCCTCATAGACCAACGCCGTCATGTGTCGCAGGAGATGCCTGCCCCCCGCCTGCCCCGAGTTGTGCCGCATTGTGATGGTAAAGCATTGGGATGGAGTGTGTGTGGTACTGCATGTGCTCACATTGTCACGCCCCGGGCCCCGCCGCGCCCCACCGCGCCCCGCCGCGCCCGCCCCGCCCGGCCACGCCAAGGGGCCCCACATTACAATGCACCATTTCACGCTCGCGGCAATGTGAGTCCAAACGGTGCGACCTCGTGACTCCTGCCCGCGCCCGCGCCCCGCGCCGCGGACACCCCCGCGCCCGCGTCCACTCGAGCAGCAGCGCACTTTTCCACCCGCACATAACATCGATGAAGCTCAAGGGGTTGTTCGAGAATGTGCACAAAAGTGAACGCGTGACTTTTTGAATATGGTGATTGTGTTCTATATTTATCAGGGAAGTCGACTACTCCTTCTCGGGCGACGAGATAATTGATTTTGGAAGTTGATCAATTTATTGTTCAAGAAATGAGCAATATATGATTTCTAGGCGATACGATATCGCCCACGGATGCAGAGAACAGGAAATGGCAATGCAAATTCGCGTGGAAAGCGCGTCGGTTTTTTACTGTTCATCTTGTTAAGTTTTTTGTTCGTACTTTTTATTTTTCTTTCCGCTCGGCGAAGCCTAATCGCGAGGTGGGGGCCCCCGCCTGTCCTGCCCCGCGAGTGTATAGCGGCGCGCCTCCGCCGCCGCCGGCCCGCGAAGCGCACGGCACTTTGAGCGCTGGTGACGATGAATCGTGACTCCCGTCGTCGTGGAGGTGCGGGCGGGCGGCGCGGGCCGGGCCGGGCCGCGTTGTTGTCCCCTCTGGATTCCGCTGAACGGAAAGCGATGCGGCGTGCGGCAGCGAAACGCCTTCATTAACACCAGCGGCGCCCTCTTCCCTCTCCTCCTCCCGCTTTCAGAAAAATGGGGTTGCGAGCGAGTTCCCGTTGAGCGGAGGCGGGTGGAGGGGGTCATCCTGACGGATTCCTGGAGGAGACGACAACATATGTGGCCGGGGCGGGTGGCTCCAGGTCGAGGCCCCACGCGCGCGCTCAGCAGCCCTCCCCTCCGCGCCGCCCGCTCCCTTTTCTTCTGACGAGCGCTACGAATAATTAATTTCGAGAATTCTGGAAAGACGCCGTAAAAGTGCTGTTTGAGCCAGAGACTACTACATAGACTGTACTTCAGGCGCGTCGCTTCCACCCAAAGTTCCGGTTGCGTCTCGCTGGGGAGGGAAGAGGGGAGGGAGAGAGGTGGTGGGGGGCACTGCTTGGACTCATCAGAGGGG